TATTTTTTATAGTATAGAGAAATTAAACTTTTTAGTAAAACACTGTAGCTTATCGTTACTAATATCATTGTTTTTTTAACATACCCTTGACTATACAACTAACTTGATTAATATGTACATTTGTACTGCTCTGTATTGTGCCCCCCCAGATTTCATAATGTACTGGTATTATATGGTTTCATAAAATTTTGTGTTACTATCTAAAAACAACTATTTTATGAAAATTTTATCTACAGTTTATTTTTACAAAAAAATAATTTTTTAAAGGTATAAAAAAAAGTTCTCTGGGAATACTAATATGATTTCATAAAATTCCGTGTTTCAATTGAAATAAAAGGATTTTATGAAAATCATATATACTTTACAGTTTACACTGACTATTTAATTTCTCAAAAATATACAAAAATATTTTCCAAAATACGCCTTGTTGCAATACCTACCGGTTTCTATAATGTTTGACAATAGACACAAATTAGTCTTCAAAATTTAAAGCATTTCAGGTCGTTATTAAGTCGTCATTAAGTCGTCATTAGGTCGGCATTAGGTCGGCATTAATTCTATGTAAGTTACTATTCGCTTTTCTTTAATTTTTACCGTAAGCCTTAATTTTATTATTCAATGCACAAAACACTTTGATAACCCGCACAATATTACTTAATTGATTACATACAGTATTGTAGTTCTGCTTTTCAAAAAGAAGTAAATAACATTGAATATAATACAAAACATCTGGATAGATATAAAATGTGATTCTAAAATTTTAGAGTTGGAACCTTTTACTTAGCCAAACTTTTCCCAAAATATTGACAAACCATGTTAAGGTGTGGGCCAAAATATTGACAAACATGTTAAGGTGTGGGCCAATATATTGNGAGGTGTGGGCCAAAATTAAAGTATTTTTTCAACCCATACTATTTTGCTTTTCAAATCAAAGAATTTTCAGACCTGGAAAAATAATGAAAAAGCTGATCCTTCTCTCATTTCTTCTATGGGTCGGTCTAATAACCGGTTTACCAGAAACCGGTTTATCTAGACAGAAGCGGCAGTCTGGGCGGGCCAACGTGCAGGTGAATCGTTCTGGAAGCCGGGGTAGGCAAACTGTAGCTTCTAAGGGAAGCGTATCGGGTCGGGCCACCGTGCAGGTAAGTTTGCTGGCCCTGACAGTTAAAACTTTGCTTTTTATATAAAAAGATCAGCTTATAAAAAGAATGTCCGTTATCAATCTAATATTTACCTAATAGATACTCAGTCACTATCAAACAATAATTAAAACAATTTCATTGGGAACAATTTTCTATTCTAAAATTATCTTTAATCCAAGCAAACCGGCCCCTGGCTTCTAATATGCTTTTGTATTAACCACTAACCTTGGCTTTAAAGGAGTAAATAAAATTAATAACAAGTTTCCCTTGCATGCATAGTAATACATTTAATATATTAAACAAAGCTTTGAAATAAAGTGAAGGAGACAATACATGTTCATATACCATTGGTTTAATTGTCTGTTTGTAGGGATGTACGATGACCCCTTCTGGAATTGATAACATTTTAACCCCAGCGAAAGAGAACGCAATCATCTCTGTCACATGTACAACAGATACAGGTAGAACACCTATACTGTACAACACAATTTTAATCAAATACAGGTTTAAAAGTTAATAAATTTCAAAGAAGAAAAGTTACAAATAGTATTATTATTGCAGAATGTATATCATTATACTACATGTAAGGGGAATTAACGAAAAATTACTGACAATTCGAATACACGAATAAATACAGTTCAGTACAGTGCAGTACTAAAACATAGTCTAGTAGTATATAGGTAACTTGCTTCATCTTGGTTATATCACAGTATTATTACAACAGATACACATTTAGACAGGATAAGTTTCATTAAACTGACTGATGGTAAAAATATTGTTAGAAAACTTATACATAAATAGCAGATAGTGCAAGTGCATTTAATACATTTATAATTATAGGTAGTTATACAAATCTTAGGTAATTAAGTAAAATTACAAAAAGTACAAATCTATGTAATTAAGTACAATTTAGCACAATAATAGAAAGAAGATGTTAAGCAATTACTAAAGCAAATAAGAAAAATTGTCAATTAAGTAATAAATGACTATTAATAAAAACCGAGCTTTCTTATTCTTCGTTAGAAATATTTCATTGAAATTTTGTATATTTATTGCATTATTAAAATTTGATAAAATAAACATGTTATATGCTGACATATGAGACGAATTCAAAATATTTATTAAAAACCCTAGCTAGGTTTTCTATATTCTATAACAATTAAGTATACAGATCGATCCAGACAGAATGAGATATTAATGACGACCCAAAACTCTTTGTAAATAACGATCTCAGCATTTAATTTGAAGTTCTGCCTTAACTATAATTTTTTGTGATTTGATTTGATTTTATTTTATTTTATTTGATATGCCAACAAAATTACAGAATGGCAGGAAACCATGAGGATGCCTGAGAAAATACTGATATAATTCCGTTTAGTCGTCTTTTAAGTCTCTGGACTGGATGAAGCAACCCTGTATTGGGACTAGATTTAATGAATTTCATTAAAAGTAGTTGAACCGCATTGACTGAGTTGAGCCACTTGTTTGTGCCCCGGGTCAAGCTGAAGAAAAGTGGTTCAACTTAGTCTGCGCGGTTCAACTATGTCTAGTAATTCATTTCATCTGGTTTTTGTGTCTATATATTCTTTGTTATTTATAATTATCATTATCTCATTTTTTAGCCCCGGATTCTTGTGTCTTCCAACACGCGGCTCCGATGGATGTAGGTCTTGTTACCAGTGCCGGCGGAAGCGCAGCTAATGACCAGTATGTAAGTAAACACATCTAAACCAAACTAGACTTGTATAGCAAATTATTTTTGCATCTTTCTATTTTACTATTTTAGAATACGAAATGCACTGCAACTCTTCAGACTAATGGACAAACGTGTCCGGATGATTCTAGGATAACATACGTTGTAAGTAAACATTTACTAATTTAAAACTCTTATCAAAGGGATTGTTCACTTGTTTCCAAAATGATCAAAACTCTCTGTTTAATGTTCTCTCAGAAAACCGCAGTGTCAAAAAAAAAATTATGCGGATTTTTTTTAATATTGTGAACTATTGATGTTACAACTAGCAAAGTTTTTGCCCAAAATGAATTGTGGTTGTGCCACAAACTCAAATTTTCTAATCATACTTTCCAGCCTAATGGTGTGCAAACCTTTAATATATCAAACTTAGATTATTTCATCTGACAGAATTCATAGCTTCTGAGGTTTACCACACTGGGTTACAAAGATGTTATGGGATTAGGAAATCAGAGTTTGTGACAAAGACTCAATTCCTTGCATGTGGAAATGCAATTAGCAACACCTTTAAGCAGTGAAATAGGTCTAGTTGTGATCTTAAATTCAAAATTAGGAACACCTTTAAGCAGTGAAATAGGTCTAGTTGTGAATGTGATCTTAAATTCAAAATTAGGAACACCTTTAAGCAATGAAATAGGTCTAGTTGTGATCTTAAATTCAAAATTAGCAACACCTAATTAAGCAGTGAAATAGGTCTAGTTGTGAATGTGATCTTAAATTCAAAATTAGGAACACCTTTAAGCAATGAAATAGGTCTAGTTGTGATCTTAAATTCAAAATTAGGAACACCTTTAAGCAGTGAAATAGGTCTAGTTGTGATCTTAAATTCAAAATTTGAAAGTGATAACTGAGAGACAACTTCAAGATGGTCTTTGAACTTTGATTTAAAGAAAATAAAAAGTTTGCGCCTTTAAAAATGTCGTGTTTATTTTAGAAATATACTGGATTTTGGAATGAATTAAAAAGCAAAATAACAATTAATAGTTTGCAATATCTGAGCTATGGTCTACGACGCGACGTTGGGTTTCAAAGATAAAGAAAATCGGAGTTTGTGGTAAAAACTTAATTCCTGAAATGAAAAATATGAATGATTAAAATGTGTTATAGATGACATCAACATCATGTGGATTCAGAATCAGCAAGGCAGAGCCTGATGATACAGGGAGATGGATTCTAACAGGTACAATCTTAAATAATTTCAACACCCCTCCCCTCTATTGCTTGCCCCACCCCTCCCCGGCCATTAAAAAGCTCCGGTTCATTTGAGGTATACCATCACACCGACTTAAAATCATTTACGTTTTCCTGCAGCAGGGTTGCGCAATTCACTTTTGTAGAGACCCCAAAATTGAAAATAATTAGCTTTTAAAATTATAAACATTGGTTTCTAATTTGAACTTGATCAGACAAAGCTTTTACGGGTACCGATGTGAATCCATTTTTCATCAAAATCTAAAGGTTGAATTCTTTTGTTAATGCCAATAAATTATTTATATATACAGGGTGAGTAAAAAAAGGGTGAATAGCGTGATCTTGCATACAATACAGAATTTTTTTTGGTAATCCCATTTTTGATAATGCATGAAATTTTGATTTTTTTTTGAAAGGCAATCTGATAGACACTTTAAAAAATCAGCGAAACTGTTTTATACTCAAAATTAGATAACTAGAAAATTGTATACTTTTCTTGTTTGCTTGTTTGTATATCCAATAAATATTAAAACTGCTGAACCGATCGGGCACAATTTGTTCGTGGCAACTCACATGACCCCCGAGGCCCCAGAGAACGAGAAGGGGTTTTAATTTTGAAAATTCGCAAATTTTAACAGAAAAATCAGCGAAATACGACTTACAATAAAACAAATTTGTTGCTTTGAAGAGCAACGTAACAGCTTAAATTGTAATATACTAGAAAAGTTTAGGATCTTAAAGTTTAACAAATAAGACTAAATAAAACTTAAAGTTTTCTCTAAAGTGTCAAACTTTTCTGTTACTAAAAACAAACATTTTAATAATATAAAAATATTTTTCTCTTGCTTTTATGAATTGTCAATTAATATTTTAAATCATTCAAAAGTAAGCAATAAAATTCAATTTTGTTTGGGATCTTTTTCTACTTCAGAAAGTAAAAAAACCTTGACTTTTTGAGGAACTGAAAACTGAATACTAGAGATGGCATGTCCGTTTTCCAATGTTACCTTCTGAACAAAGATCTGATCAATCCTTTGTGGATTGTTGATTCTCCTATAAAGTGGCTTTCGCATTTACACAGCGGTACAACAAAGGACACTTTTCAAGATAAAAAAGACAATATATTCTTCTTTTTTCCTCATGGTTATAGGGTGCAGTTGTGAATCGGTCCTATCATTTAAGGTCTACACCTAAAACGGTCATGCAGTAGTTAAAATTCAAATATCAAAAATTATCGATTGATAATAATTCAGATTATATTTTTAGTGTCTGAGGCGATGGCATCTGGTTCAATGGTAGATAACACTAAAACAGTTACAATCTATACTTTCAACAGAACCCTCACAGATATCACAGATGATAGAGATTCTCTTATCACAAGGAATTCAATCCTTAAAATCAAACACAGCTCAAAAATACGTTTTAAATATCAATTAAAAAGACTTTTCATCACCCCCCTCCCCCTCCCCTCCCCCGGGGAGGTATGTGGGGGGAATATATTTCCCTGTAAACTAAAGACCTGGCTTAATTAAGAGTTTTGCTTTCCTTTTTATCCCCTTTATATTTTAGAGTTTTATATTCTTGTTTTACCAGCAGCACTAGAGGTTCAATGTTTAAAAATTAAATACTGCTATTTTCAGTTTGAATAGATGACAATTTTTCCTTAAAACTAAAGCTAAAAACAAGTAATTTATAGTTCTAAAAGGATCCTAAAAGTATTTTTAGGTTAGTGGGGTAACATTTAAAGGCCAAGACGTTGCGACCCTTCAAATTTGAACGGGCCAGTCTTGAAAATGGAAGCAAATCTTATTATCAGTCTGTATCTAAGTAAACTAATAACACATTTCATTTTGATTATTGAATTAGGAATGTTGATGCATGGTTTAATTATGATGATAACGAAGAGGAGTGGAGAGCTGGCAGTATAGGTATTTATTTATATATTTAAATATTTTTTCTTTTATTATTTTTTTCATCAATGTTTTCAAAAAGTGGTACGATATATATATTTAAAACGGAATGCAATTTTTATATCTTACTTTTAAATTTTATCTCGTTTTATTTAATCAGAATTTTTTTTTGATTTAGAATTTTTAAATCGTTAGAACATGGTTAGAACTGATCAGGATTAAACAAGATCAAAAAATGTATTGCTCAATTTTTTTTTAATATTCTAATTTTTCATTTAATTTTCAGGAGGTTGGGAGCAAGTTGAGTTAAACTGTAATGCTAGGGGAGGTAGACCTGAACCTAAGATTAGGTAAAGGAATTGAGTCTTTGTCACAAACTCTGATTTTCTAATACCTGTATCTTTGCAATCCAATTTCGTAGACGTTAGATATTTCAAACTATGAATTCTGTTAGATCAAATAGCCTAAGTTTGAAATATCAAGGGTTTCCACCATTAGGTTGCCAAGATAAAAGGATTGGAAAATTTGAGTTTGTGGCAAAAACTCAATTCCTTTGGACAGATGAGGATACTTATACAAATAATAATAACAATGATAGGTGGTATATAAACAATGATGACCGCAATGCCTTTGGTGGAGAATCTGGAAGCAGTGATGCTGATAAAGTATTCAGTGTCAGAGAAAGCTATGGGGTGAATATTAGTTCTTCATTGCATAATTCTTTTCTTTAAAGTATAAACTGGATGGGTTCGGCTTTTTTAATTAGAATTCAATTGCCTTTTGGTATATAATAATATAAGTCAACAATCTTAAAAGATTTTTTTCTATTTTCTAATTTTCTAATTTTTTAATTCAATTATTTGGTTTTAAAAGAAAGAATAAAACTTTTTAGCTTAACTTTTTTTGTGTACAGACAACGTATGATGATGAAGGTTATATACGAGACAAAATATCTCAACTTATATTTGATGTTGACAGGTATATTAGATACTAGCTGGGGTACCCGGCGATGCCCAGGGTTTAGAAATAATCGTTTGTTCAGCTTTTGTCACCCCATGGTTCCCCTAAAAATGGCCTACTATTTTGGTCCAGTTGGCTAACTAATATATATTTTGTTTATCAACAATGAGCTTTATTATATGTTAAATATTCAAATAAATTCAGAAAATTAAAATTTGTCTATAATGCCAGGTTCACAATAACTAAGTCCTCTTTTGAGGCCACATTCTCATTTTTTGGACACAAATCAATAACAGACTTTTTGAAATCGACTAAGACCTTATTTAAAAAATCACAAGTTAAAACTTTCTGTGTTGACATAATTGTAAATACGCGACGAGTATATACTATAAGATTGAAACACAATCTGAACTTTAAATCATTAATTCTGAATGTTTTCATCTTGATGTAAAATCTTGATGTAAAATCTTGATGTAAAAAATTAGGTTCAATATTTTCCCTGTTAAGATTTTGTTATTTTTGCAAATTTTATGCCTTTAATTTTAATACGCAAGAATCTTTAATCAATTACAAGCTAATACAAGTGCATGAATCATTTAATTTGCGGGATTGCTTTGAATTTAAACCTAGTTAATTACTGATATAAAAAAGTGACTTATTTTTTTGTTTAAAAAGTAAATTTTTGTCTTGTTTCCAGGGACCTATTAAACTACCTATGGGAGAAAAATCAGATTAACTCGAATCCAACAACAGGACAGTTTACATTCGATCTTGTCTGTGAGGTAAAACATTTGAAAATATAATTTTTAAAAATGCAATCTTTTAATTTTTGCTTTTCTTAGCGTCAAACTTACACGTTGTGTGTTGTAATCATTCCTTGTTGTATTCTAATGGTTATGAGTTTGAAAAACGAAATGCATTCGACGCTTATTTATTATAACGATCTCCGCAATGAGTTAAAGGAACTGCAAACGTAGTTTTACGTGACCCTCCAGTGAAAGATTGGGATGTCGGACCCTGTAAAGCGTTGTCTAATTAAGAATGAATTAGTTATCCACGTTTTTTAGTTTCAAAAAATGTCCATTTTGATATAAAGTTTCTCATTAAAAGTGACTTGTGCACTTCTTGCTTAAGAAACAATGAAGAAATTATCAGAATTAAAGACTTTTCATGCCAGAAAAACAATTGATAATATTAAGGTTTGAAGGATACCGTTGGGAATCTGACATGTATCTCTTTTTTTAAATGAAGGGTCACTTACAAGTACGACGAGTCAAGTTTTCAGTTGGAATTTGCTGACATCATGTTTAGAATATTTTTTAATGTCATTTGACTTTGAGTGACAACATTTAAAATTGTTGATCCAGATTTTTAAGAAATAAAAGAAGTTTTTTTAAAATCATTTTGAAATCATGCATTGTCTTGTCATGTTATGGTTCTCACCTATTAAATATTCTTCTTCAGAATGATTGGTACCCAAAATGTTGTCCAAATGCCTGAACAGTCCTTTCAACAAGCATTTTTTTATCCTCTAGGTTAATCAAGGAGACTATGGGATGGAGAAAATTAGTACAACAATAACAATTAAAAGAATTTATTTCGAGTAAGTACTTTGATATAAAACATACAAAAATAATTCATTGCTTGTAACTACTGAAATTGCATTGAGTTTACAAAATATTTTGGTGAGACCCCAAAAAGTGCAAAAAGAAGGCCATATTCAACCAATTTTTTGTTGTTTTAAATGATATAGTTCCACCAGTATAGCTTGAAAATCAACTTAACAAGTGAAATGACCCATAGTATAGTGTACACGTTGAACTATTTGACATCATAACTTTATTCTAATCGTCGTAATCATAATACAAAGTTTTATGTTTGAATATTTTTAGTTTTTATTTTAATTTTCCACAAATAATTGATTTAAACTTGTTAAATGTGTATATTCTACAAAACACAACATTGTGTGAAAAATTTTCTTATCTTTCCCGTCTTTGTGTCAGCCCTAGTTAGGTAAGCTTTAAGTAAATATGAGTCAACAACGGTTTTTTGGAAGTTTATAAACAATAAAACTATCCCTAGCATTACTCCCTCCCCACAACCTATACTCCGAGTGTTTTTGAGCGTTTTGGTTCGATTTTTAAAAACATTTAATAAAATTTCTGAAGTTTCTTAACTGTATTCTGTTAAAGGTTTCTTTTATTGAACTTTGCAATACGTTTATATGTTCGATTTTGAGTTTTTTGGGATTATTATCGTTCTAAGCACATTTTTTCTCTCAGGCTCCAAATTTGGCATAGGATTTATCATTGAATCCCTCCGTACATGGTTAAACTTTTCATTGATTTAAATTTTTCTGAGATAAATGATGCCATTTTATTTTGATTTTAAGCGACCTTAAACCATATAAGAAAATATACAAATTAAATAACGTGATTCAAAATAAAATTTCAATTTAATGGCCGCACTGTAATTGTAGTTTTAAGTGCACACCATTAATGGAGTCATTCGTCTGATTAAGAATGAATAAGATTTCCATGATTTTACTTTGAAAATTGGTTGACTTAATTGGATTTCTTTTATATAAGTGGGTTGTATATTTCTGCTCCAGAAATGATATTATGTAAATTAAACACTTTTCAATTTTGACTTTTTTTTTACAGAGATAGACTGAAAACCAGCACCATCGGATGGATTGTTGGAGGAGTCCTGGTTGGAATCCTTCTTATCCTGATCATTCTGGTGGCATTGTGGGCCAAGGCTTCCGGTCGATGGTGCTTCGAGGACGACGAGTACAGTTACGGGAACCCCAACGATCCTAAGAGAAGACCGCGGACACAAGCTCAGGTTTACAGGTTTATACTTACTTTGTCCGTTAGGTTTCAAGCATAGGGATGGGCTGAGTTTTAGGTTTCAAGTAGATACGGGAGTAGTGTTAGTTTTCAAGTAGATACGGGAGTAGTGTTAGGTTTCAAGTATAGATACAGGCAAAATAAAGTTTTAAGTAGAGATTGGAATCGTGTTAGGTTTTCAGTAGAGATTGTCATAGTTTTAGGTTTCAAGTAGAAATGGTCAAAGTAAGGTTTCGAGTAGAGATTGCCATAGTTTTAGATTTAAGGTATATATGGAATAATTTTAGGTTTCAAGAAGAGATTGTCATAATTTTAGGTTTAAAGCATATATGGATAATTTTAGGTTTCAAGTAAAGATCGTCATAGTTAGGTTTCAAGTAAAGATGGTCATCGTTTTAGGTTTGCAGTAAAGATGGTCATAATTCTATCCTAGACGAGTTTTATGAGGAATGAGGCTACACACCCCATAACGTGATCAATCTTAATAGCTTGATTCAGTAAAGATCGGTTTTAAGCAAAGATTGTCATAGCTAGGTTTCAAGTAGAGATGGTCATAGTTAAGTTTCAAGTCGAAATGGTCATAGTTTTAGGTTTCAAGTAGAGAATGTCATAGTAAGGTTTCAAGTAGAGATGGTCATAATTAGGTTTAAAGCTGAAATGGTCATAGTTTTAGCTTTCAAGTAGAGAATGTCATAGTAAGGTTTCAAGAAGAGATGATCATAGTTAGGTTTTAAGTAAAAATTGTCAAAGTTAGGTTTCAAGTAGAGATAGTCATAGTATTAGGTTTCAAGGAGAGAAAGGCATAGTTGAGTGTTAAGTAGAGATGGTCATAGTTAGGTTTCAAGGAGAGATGGGCATAGTTTTAGATTTCAGGTAGAGATTGTCATAGTTTTAGGTTTCAAGAAAAGATTGTCATAGTTAGGTTTCAAGTAGAGATGGTCATTGTTAGGTTTTAAGTAAAGATTGTCAAAGTTAGGTTTCAAGTAGAGATGGGCATAGTTAAGTTTTAAGTCGAAATGGTCATAGTTTTAGGTTTCAAGTAGAGAATGTCATAGTAAGATTTCAAGTAGAGATGGTCATAGTTAGGTTTAAAGCAGAAATGGTCATAGTTTTAGGTTTCAAGTAAAGATTGTCAAAGTTAGGTTTCAAGTAGAGATAGTCATAGTTTTAGGTTTCAAGAAAAGATTGTCATAGTTAGGTTTCAAGTAGAGATGGGCATAGTTTTAGGTTTCAAGTAGAGATTGTCATAGTTAGGTTTCAAGTAGAGATGGTCATTGTTAGGTTTCAAGTAGAGATAATTAACATTTGCTCTTGTTACACTCTGCCATATTTTAACCCTGAAAGAAAATATAGACCGAAAAACTAGCTAAAAAAGAACAAAGTGATGTCAAATCTCTACTTATAAGATTGTAGAATAAGATTAAAATAAGGATAGATAGAATAAAATGGTTTAGTGCGTAATAGTTCCTAAAATTAGTTGCGTAAAATCCTAAAACGTACGAGTTTACTGACATGTCAGACATGATTGTGTGTCTGTGATGGCAGATTCCTAAGGAGTTTGTGTCACAATCTCAAACTTTCTAATCCATATAGCTTTGCAACCTAATAGTGGAAACCTTTGATGTGTCAAACTTAGATTATCTGACCTAACAGAATTCATAGTTTAAAATATCAAAGGTCTACCTACCACTCCTGTATGCCGAGTCCATTAGCGCCTGATCCAATCAGGGTTCAGTCATGTGTTTGTTGTCTATTCTGAACCAATATTAATAGTATGGCGGTTACGACATTGGGTTGCAAAGATATTGGAATTTAAAAACCCGAGTTTGTGGCAAAAACTCAGGTCCTTTACCCATCTCCCCTAGTTGCTTGAATTGCATTTGTATAAAATTAATAGAATGAATCATTTTGTGTTGATAGTAGGAGAGGTATATAAGGAAGATAAGGGAGGGAAGGAATGAAAACAAAGGAGAGATAAGACCTGCCTAGAGTTGACATTTATAATCTATATAATCATTAAACTTAACAATATATAGAACATGGAGAAATAGCCGTTAAAAATATACAGGGTTACCCACAAAGAATGAGACTTAAGAGACGATTACGGAATTTGTATTGTCCATTTTCTTGCATTTTCAGGGTTCCTTGTAGCACAAAAATGGTTTATTTCTGTGCTTAATCACTTAGTAAAACATCATAATACTCAATTGAATGCAGCAACCAAAAATCAAGATTAAAATCGTCACATTTTTAGAGGTTTGGGTCGTTTTTACAAGTCTCATTCTTTGTGGTTAACCCTGGTTATTGATACATATTAAGACATTGGTTAATTTGGAAAAGATGTTTAAATAAATATTTATATTCTATTTTCTCTTCCCCTACCACGATCAAAAGTTTTAAAAAATTCATTTAAAAAATAAGAAAATATGCAATATTTTTAAATACAAATAATAAACAAAAAATTTTCAGCGCTGAAGACACTGATTCGTCTGGACCTGTGAAAGCCATGAGATATGCTCCTACTGCCCCTAGTAGGACTACAACTACTCTAGTTGGACAGGTCCAAGGGTCCCCGGCCCCTACACCTAATACTCAGGGTCCTCTCTTTATCAAAAATAAAAATCAGGTTAGAAAGTAAAGTTTAAAGTTTTTCAATTGAGATATTTAGGAGGGGATTTGTCAGAGAAGATTATTTCTATTTCAAATTATTTTTCTTGAACATTACACATTACACATTACACATTACACATTACACATTACACATTACACATTACACATTACACATTACACATTACACATTNCACATCTCACATCTCACATCTCACATCTCACATCTCACATCTCACATTTCAAATTTCACATTAGATTGTACACTATACATTATACATTATACATTACACATTACACATTACACATTACACATTACACATTACACATTACACATTACACATTACACATTACACATTACATATTCTCATTAAATATTTCTGCAATCATCCCAATTTCGTGTGTTCATGTTAAGTGTGGAAAATCTTTTTCTAAAAACCATGATATGAAACTGCACAAAGAAAGGATTCATTATGAGAGAAGGTAATTTTTCAATTAGCTTTAATGTAATAAAATCTTAGTGTGAGGGGAAGAAAATAATGTTCATTTGAATTCAATAGGGATTTAGGGATTAGTAAATATGTGTTTGTGGCAAAGACTATAATTCCATTGTAGTTCAACTCCTCATATTTCAGCAGACAATCCTCTTCTTATTTTATGAACAAAAATTGTTTATAGTTAACATTATATGATATGGTCTCTTATAATAAGAAGTGGTTCATGGTAAAATCGTGGTGGGGGGGGGGGAGATTGGTGGACTCCGCTGAAATATTTTATGGTTATTCCAAAAAATTTCAATAAAAATGAATTTCTAAACCAGAGCTGGAAACTTTAGAATGTGATTTCCTTAATCGCAATTACATAATCTGAGTATCCAATGGACACACTTTTGGGTTTCTTCTTAAACCGTTCATTCTTGGATAAAGAAGAAAAAAATCCAAAACCGGTATTTTTAAATTAGAGAGTTCCTCCCGTTTCTGTACAATAATCTTTCAGGATACAAGTACAAGATTAGATTAGTTTCGATATTAAGAGAAATTGACGTGCACCGGAATTGCGTTTGGAAACCCTACATAAAACACAACGGAAATCACTGAATTCTACTGAGTGATATAATATCTATATCTTCTAGGTATATGTGCCCTGTATGTGGTAAACGCCTAAGTAAGATTCAGGAACACATGAGAAGAATACATCCAGACTTTAACTATGATCCTGCCAATATTCAGGTTAGATGTTGGAAGAGTTTTGGAGAGTTTATAGGAGTTCAGATGAGTTTATGAGAGTGTTGGAGAGTTAGGAGAGTTTAGAAGAGTTAAGAAGAGTTAAGAAGAGTTAAGAAGAGTTAAGAAGAGTTAAGAAGAGTTAAGAAGAGTTAAGAAGAGTTTAGANGAGTTTTAAAGAGTTTTAAAGAGTTTTAAAGAGTTTTAAAGAGTTTTAAAGAGTTTTAAAGAGTTTTAAAGAAGGGGTTAAAAGGGGTTAAAAGGGGTTAAAAGGGGTTAAAAGGGGTTAAAAGGGTTTAAAAGGGTTTAAAAGGGTTAAGAGAGGTTAGGAGGGGTTAGGAGGGGTTAGGAGATGTTAGGAAAGGTTTGGAGAGGTTAGGTTAGGTTTGGAGAGGTTAGGAGAGGTTAGGCAAGGTTAGGTTAGGTTAGGACATCTTTGAAGAGGTTAGGAGGGATTTGTAGAGTTCAAGAGAAGTTAAGCGACGTTAGGGGAGTTCATGAGTGGTTAGAGGTTGGAAGAGGGTAGGAGAGATCAGAAGAGGTTAGGAGAGGTAAGAAGGTGTTAAGAGAGGTTAGGAAAGTTTAGAAGAGGCTATAAGAGGTTGGAAGAGGTTAGGAGAGATTAGAAGGTGTTAAGAGAGGTTAAGAAAATTTAGAAGAGGCTAGAAGAGGCTAGAAGAGGCCAGAAGAAGTTAGAAGATCATGATGTTAGGAGAGGCTGGGAGAGGCTGGAAGAGGTTAGAAGAGGTTGGAAGAGGTTGGAATAAGGGTGGGGCAATTTTGCACTTTTTGATAAAAATGTTCAGATCCTTTCAGCACGTTTTTTAAAAGTTTCTATAATAAAAAAGCATAACAAAAATGTAAAATGTTTTATTCTCACTTTCCAATTCATGCAGCGCATCATCTCTTTGTAAAAATTAAATCACTAGTATCGATATGAATTCAAAAATGGTAAAATCATAAAAATCGGTTAAAATTGAATGAGTTAAAGGCAATAGGACTTTTTAGCGGAAATTTTCCAGAGTCATCCAAAAATAATAGTGTTTTTTGGGCCATCAACCAATTTTCAAAATTCAAACTTCAACTTAAAAAAAATGATTGTTGATTTTTAAAAGTGCTTGCGCTGACCCATCTTTTTTTAATCAAAAAAAAATTCATGATGTTTTTGTAAGTTAAATTGAACACTTTTTTCTGCATGTTTGTAATTTTTGGAGAAAAAAATCATTGTGTCCCAGGGTTGGTTAGAAGAGGTTAGAAGAGGTTAGAAGAGGTTAGAAGAGGTTTGAAGAGGTTTGAAGAGGTTAGAAGAGGTTAGAAGAGGTTAGAAGAGGTTAGAAGAGGTTAGAAGAGGTTAGAAGAGGTTAGAAGAGGTTAGAAGAGGTTAGAAGAGGTTAGAAAAGGTTAGAAAAGGTTAGAAGAGGTTAGAAGAGGTAAGGAGAGGTTAGAAAGTGGTTGGAAGAGGTTGGAAAATGTTAGAAGACGTTTGGAGATGTTGGGAGAGTTTAGAACAGGTTACAGGAGACGAGGAGTGTATGTATATAAGAATCTTAGTATTCTGGATTTCTGTTTTTTCTTAAATTATTATTTCAGATTGCTCCTCCAGCTAGTGCTTCTATAGAGACAAGGATTCTAACCCTTCCAGTGGTAAAGGATGAAATGATCGTTTTACCATTCTTCAGTTGACTTTTTTTTAGAAATATATTTTTTGTATTTGTTAAACATAGTTCGAGATCCTTTTTGGCATGAATACATATGTTCAGCATGGTGGATACTTTTCATACTAGAATAAATTAGAGTTAGGGGTTGGACAGCAGTTATGGAGCATATCTTTGAGTCTAATATTTTGTGGGATGGGCCAATTACGTTACTTTTAACACTACAATGGTCGACCAACGGTTGTCTTCAACTGTGTACGTGCTTTTTATCTCCAGAGTATAACGGAGGATATGTTTGCCTGACAATGGTCCACCAAGCACGCTTAAACAAACGTGCTTTATTATTATTATTGTTTTTTAACCAAAGACTGCGAGATTATTTTACAATGTTAAACAAGCTACACTTTCTTTCAACTTTTTTAGTCTTGTTATCATTTCTGCTGATTAGATTATATTTTAGATTTCTATTGTCCACATCTGGTAAAACTGCTCTGGAATTTTTAACAAAATTGTAGCATAGTTAATTTTTCTTACTAATTTTTTTATCATTTTTCTTACTTCCATGTTTTTGATTTCTCTTGCTTAACATCTATTACATAATCAATCTTGATTTTCAAATTTAGAAATGTCTTGGTCCAGAATCAAGATAAGTAAGTTCATAAATACTTTTATGAAAACCTTGCAGCTTCCTTCCAGGATATGTTTAATTCTTTAGCTGAACCAAATAGAACAAAATCATATAAACTTGAACGGGTTCTCTTTAAAACCCTAGAATGTTTTCCCTCGGCCTTATTTCCAAAAATATGGAATTCGATTGAATTAGAGCTGAAAGAAACTAAATCTGCAAAATCGTTTAAAAGAAAAGTCGCCAAGATCTATTTAGATAGTTATGCAAATTATATCTGTAAAAAAAAATACTGTGTATCATGTGGATAAACTTAGTCTTTACTATCTTCTTCACCCTGTAGTTCATAAACATGATTCTAATAACTTATGTTACCCTCTGTTCCAACCATTACGCTGAGTATCCTCCCTTTTCTTTATACTCCCTCACCTCCTCCTTACCTTTTACCTGATTTATTATCATTCTTATGTTTAAAATGTACAATGTACATTGTTTTTATCTGCAATTCTCATTCGTTTATAGTGGGCCAACAAATTAAAACAACCTACTCTGGTTAGGCGGGTCCAAACTACATAGTAAATTGTGATTTTTTATTTGTATTATCTCGTGCTTTGTAGTTGAATAAAAATATGAAATATGAAATAATAATATGATTCATCATGACGATTAGCGCTGAAGAAAAATTAATTGTGTTTTTTCTCATCTTGTTAACGAATTATTTTCGATATTCTTATACACACACAGGGTGTCCCGAAATTTTTGTTGTTCCGCCGCAAAGACCAATTTAGCCTACAAAACATCCGTCTTGAGAACCCTTGGTAAATTAAATTCCCTTGACTTCCCTGTAAATAATTATTGACACTTAATTAAAACATGTTTTCACTAAAACAATAAATATTTGCACGAACAGTATGTATATAATGCAATATTCTAAAGGGGTTAAAAGGGGTTCATGTTTTCACTAAAACAATAAATATTTGCACGAACAGTATGTATATAATGCAATATTCTATGATTTATTATTTGTTAATTTACGACATTTTAATAAACTAGGATTCATTTAAACAAAATTTATAGGTTTAATGAAATATTGGCAATTAAAGTGTTATAATAGTGAAATAATAGCGCACACTGCTCAGAAGGCATTATACTTTTTTTGAGTTTTAAAGAGTTTTAATGAAATAATAGCGCACACTGCTCAGAAGGCATTATACTTTTTTTTAATGTTTTTAATGTTCATTCAATGAAACTTGTAACATATAAAACAATACTTTAAGAGAAAAATACAATTATGATTATAATAAAATATAAAATAGAATACAAAGTTAAACTTCACCATCCTAAACAGTACACACATAAATAAACACATTTTTGCCCCCACCGGCCACCATGCCTTTCCCCTTTTTAGACCTGGAAACTATATAATTAATATTTCGTTGAAAACTTGTTCTATCAGCTGGTGCTGGATTTTTTAACATTCCTGGAAAATATAGAACTGTCGTCTTCGTTAACAAACAAGTCTAAATTTCAAAATAAACTATTT